ACAAATGGACCAGTGGGACTGAACAGACAAATGGATCAATGGGATGCACTGAAGTATAGTCAAATGATCTTCGACTATGGAACAAAGATAGTCTTCTCAACAAATGGTGTTGGAACAACTGGACATCCAAATCTAGACACAGACCTTACACCCTCTATAAAAATGAACTCAAAGTGGATCATAGACTTAAATGTACGATACAAAACTCTAAAATTCCTAGGAGATAATAGGAGAAAAATATAGACAATCTTGGGTATGGCAATACCTTTTTAGATACAACCCCATGATCCATAAAAGAAATAATTGATAATAAGCTGGATTTCATTAAAATAAACTTCTGCTCAGAAGACATTATCAAGAGAAAGAAGACAAGCCACAGACTGGGAGAAAATATTTGCAAAAGACATATCTGATAAAGGACTGTTATCTTAAATATACAAAGAACTCCTAAAAGTCAACAATAAAAAAAACAAGCAACCTGATTTAAAAATGAGTCAGACCTTAAACAGATCCTTCACCAGAGAAGATATATGGATGGCAAGTAAGCATATGAAAGGTGTGCCACATCATATGTAATCAGGGAAATGCAAATTAAAACAATGAGATATCACTACACACCTATTAGAATGCTCAAATTCTAGAACAGTGACACCACCAAATGCTGACAAGGAAGTGGAGCAACAAGGACTCTCCTACATTGCCGGTGGGAAAGCAAAATGGTCCAGCCACTTTGGAAGGCGGTTTCTTGCAAAACCAAACATACTTCTACCATGTGATCCAACAACCATGATCCTTGGTATCCATCCATATGAACCGAAAACTCATGAACGCAAAAGCCTATATACGAATGTTTAGAGCAGCTTTATTCACTGTCAAAACTTGGAGGCAACCAATATATTCTTCACTTGATGAATGGTTAAATAACCTGTAGTACATCCATTGAATGGAATATTATTCAGTGCTAAAAATAAATGAGCTATCAAGACATCAAAAGATATGGAGGCAACTTAAAGGCATCTAACTAAATACTGAAAAGGCCATACACTGTGTGATTCCAGTTATATGCCATTCTGGAAAAGGTGTCACTGTGGAGACAGTCGAAAATATCGGTGATTGCCAGAGATTGGGGAAGGGAGGGATGAAGAGGCAGAGGACAGAGGATTTTTATGAAAGGAAACTATTCTGTATGATATGCAGTGGTGAATACACTGTACATGTATCAAAACTCACAGAATGTACAACACTAAGTGAACTATGATGTAAACTGTGGACTTCGGGTAATAATGATGTGTTCGTGTAGGTTCACTGATTCTGACAAAGTACTACTATGCTGTGGATGTCACAGCAGGAGAGGCTGTGCATTTGTGGGGACAGGGAATATATGGGAACTTTCTGTACTTTGAATTTGCTGTGAACCTAAAACTGCTCTAAAAAGTCTATTAAAAAGATTCCTGCTGTATAGCACAAGCAAACACCCATGCGGAAACTATGAAACCTGACGAGGGGCACGTGGTGAATAGTGTCTGGGTGATGACTTCACCTTGGAGAGCATGTGGGGGAAGCGTCTTATGCCCATATTGACACAGAACTGGCAAAGGCAGGATCCAGTGTAAAGGACCCTCTGCTCTTCCACATCATCCCGAATCTTCATGATGCACGGGCTCCGAGGGAGAATGTCCCTGTCACAGGATGTGTCTGCAACAATGTAGGGAAGCAGATTAAAAATTCAGAGAAAATAAAGGTAGAATTCATGGCCAAAGATGATAGGGAAGAATGCTCAAGAGGATTGTAAGGCCGAAGAAATATATTCTCAGTATTCAAACTCAAATGATCTTGAGGAAGAAAGAGTAAAGCTCTATTTGATTAAAACCAAGCATCTAAGAAACTCCTGGCCCATCTTTACACTAATTCTAGATGTAAGGAAACTGGGCCTGAGTTAACTACAGACCCAGTAGGCGGCAGCAGGGCTTACACCTCTGTGACTGCAGAGCCTTCCTTCCTCTGCACCCAGCCCGCCCCATGCCTCTTACGGGAAACTGAGGGCACCTGCTGACACGTAGAGTGTGAACAGGTGGAGCTCTGCCCAGAATGTCAGGATGAGCCTGTGCAGACTGCCCACGGCCCTGGGTCAAAGGCTCCTTCATCAAATGTGGGCTGAAGCGGAAACCAGATGGCAAGTAATGGAGATGTTAGTATCAGGTTGGTGTGGGAAATGGTGGCGAAAGGGAGGCAGAGAGATATGGCGTGTTTCTGTTTTTTCCTATCATGCAATCTGAAAATGACTCCATGAAGATGAGAAGATGAGAGGGAAGACATGAACAATTAGGCATTCTAATCACATTTACTCCCAACTAATTTGTGCAGATGGTCCTCAGTGGTTCTCAACCCCTGCTGCATATGCGTCACATCACCTGGGAGTTTTTTGAAGTGCAGATGCCAACGCTTACTTCCCCTAATTTAGAGATTCTCATGCTTTGCTCACTTAAAACGGGCAGACTTCCTTCACAACAATGTGTCGTTTGCCCAGCCTTGCTAAGAATAGGGTCTAAAATTTTTATAGAGCACTTTGGAGCCCACAATCTGACTGTTGCTGTGTGCGCGTGTGTTTATCTAACCTTTGCATAAGATTGACACATTCCTTGTCAAAGCGGAAAGGGCAAGGCTCCTAGGCCTGTGGCTGGGGAAATTAGAGGCTCTACCACTTGCCTTTTTGAAACACTGAAGCTTACTCCCATGGTAGACACTTTCCAGTTTTTGATGGAAATTTAAATTGATCTTAAAGACACTACAGCAACCACCATTTATTTTTTTAATTTTTTTCTTTTTTTATTTCTGGGGGCCTTTGTGAGCTGAAACATGGGCTGTGCATCCCTACACCAGGGTCTTGAGGTCCTTGCACCTGTTTTTATACTTTTGTCTTCTCTTTTCTCAGTGGGCATCACTTGCTTGGTCAGTGACCACAAGTCCTTCAACTTTGATGCCTTTAAGCTTTTATGAAGTGGGAAAGCAGTTGCCCAGTCATGCAAGAAAAGTTTGTCAGGAGCACATAAATGCTCCCAGCAAGAGGTCCCACCTGCTGAATGACCTGCAAGCCACTCGGATGTTGTGCTGATGTCTGTCTGCTCAGATACAGCCCCATTCTGGTTGATGTGTTCCAGACACTGAGGCTGCAACTGAGACCCCAGACAAAAGAACTTCAATCCAGCATTAACTTCCATCACTTCCACCGTAAAGGGACCAGTAGCATCTGTGAAGCCTGAGAGATGATGCTTCCTACCTACCCACAAGTGGCACTGGTGAGCCATGTTAGGGTTCTTGGCTGCCTTTGTGAGTTTATTTCGGAATATTACACATGTTCAAAGCATTAGCAAAAACCTTAGCTATGCTAAGAGCTTTTTAAGAGTTTATATTAACTCACTACAGAACCCTAGGAAGATGATAAAGTTTTGACGTGTTTTAAAATACCATTTTTAGTTAGGGCAAGAAAAATCTACTTTTCTTCAGAAAAGAGCCTATTAAATGGCACAAAAGCATAGTGTTTTTAGAAAGTAACCTGTACATTTTTTTTTCTTTCACTTTACTGATTTCAACAGGACTGAGGCCTACTGCTATTGCAATAGCCTATTTTAGCAGAAATAAAGGATTAAAGGGCAAGCCAGCCCCATGGATCCTGCCTGCTGGTCACTGCATTTCCAAATCAGGAGGTCAACACAGGTGTGCGATTAGGCACAAGTTCACTTTGGAAAGAGAAACATACATGATGATGGGTAACATCTACTGAGTGCATACCTGCATACATGTCAAGCAACCTGCAAAGAGCATTCAGTGAATTACTTACGTATCCCTATCAGGACAACCAGCGGGTAAATACTCACAGTTCTAACCTCCATTTAAGGCTGAGGGAAATTAAGATAACTTGCTCAAGGCCCACCAGTGGCTAAGTGACTTTTAGGGATTATACATTCTGAGGTCAGATTGGACAACCTCAAAGCATTCAGTAGATTTGTAAATTCTGATGGGAAGAATGTCAGTATCATATTATTCAGTGAAGAGAGAACATTTTTGCAAAACTGAAGAGTGTTTGAAAATGTTGCTCGTCTCCTTGCTATGCCTCCAGCACTTTGCTGCCCAGTGGGGTCCAGGCCCCTGCAGTGCTGGCACTGCCTCGGCGCGTTAGGAAGGCAGAACCTCAGGCCCCATCCTGGACCTCCCAGGTCAGAATCTGTAGTAGAGACCACCAGGCGCCCTGAATGCTCGCTGATGCTTGGAGAGAACACGCCCTTGCCGGGGCCTCTGTGCTGACAGCAACTTGCTTTTCCCCAGGATTTACACGCCTTGTTCCCTCGTGTTTCTTTAACTCTGCTGAGAAGGTGATACCTTCTCAGAGGTCTTCCCTGACCTCAGCAGAAGCAATATCCTCCTTGACCCTCTGTCAGCTTTACCTCTCCTCATAGGAACTGTCACTCTGAAATCATGTGTCAATTTATTACCTGTGTTTCCCACAACACTATCAGCTCTAGCACAGCTGGCCTTTGCACCCCCTGCACCTAAGGCAGTAGCTGGGATGTAAGTGCCTGACAAATACCTTAATGACAGACTATTTTATATGCAGGACTATATATATATAGTGCATATATAACCAAACTAAAATGGTGGAGGATCCTTGGAACACTGGGGAAAGGGACGTGCTCCTCTAACCCTCCGTACTTTCTGCAATTTTTCAAAGGAATATGCACTATTTTTATAATTCATTAAAACCATCTCCTTTTAAGGGCCTTTTTGTTTTCCCCAGAAATACTGTTATGTTACACATGAATTTTTGAAACTCTGACATTACAACTCTATCATGAGGACTACGCACTGTCTGCACGAGCTGGCCCAGTGCTGGCCTGCCTGATTCCTGAAATGGTGCAGACCCTCACGCTTGGTTCTGAGCGCCTGCCAGGAGTAGCAGATAGACTGAAGAGATTCAAATCAGAGCCCACAAAAGAAAACAATCATTACTGATGAATCATTTATTTGACCAGGGCAGAAACATCTCCACATTGTTTGCTTTTATACAGAAAGAACATTTCAAATATATTATTTTTCTCTTTTTCAACAGAATTCATTTCAATCTTGTCCCAGGAACTGCTTCTCATTTTAAGATTCACGTTTTAGTAACACATATGCACCCATTACAGCCAAAAGAGCATACTGTAAAGAAACACAATGGAAAATTACTGTCAGGTCTACAAATAAATTTGGACTATATCTGTATTCAGATGAAACCTGTTCTATATTGGACAGAGGACACAATCAAAAGATGACCTCCTCCCCCATGGCTTGTTCTCTAAATTAGCTGTTCAATGCCACATTATGATTAAAAACTCAAAAATACATTCATTCATAAGGATCAAACACCCAACAAACACAACTGATGCACCGCTCATTCTTGCGTGGGCCTCCTACTGTTTTTCAAGTGATTTTTAAAAATCTACCGTTTTTTAAGTCTACCATTTTTATTGAAGTTGAGAGATAAACATTACTGGGTTCATTGTACTATTTTTTGCATGTTTAAAGATTTCCATAATAAAAAGCAACACATATATAGGTGCCATTTTAGAACACACTATGAACATTATAGCTGAAAGTAGCTATTTTAGATATTTAATTTAAACGTTGATAATTTAATGATTATGTTAATTTGTAGTTAATTACCAATAATCTGCAGAAAAGAAAAACTAGCAAAATATTTTAAATAGGCTGCATCTTCATAGTTGCACATGTGAAAGCTCTAATAATTAAAAAAAAATACAGACACACATACATTCCTACCTTGAATTTTGGGTAGTCATTCATTATTATGGTGACCATACCAACATATGGTAAAAACCTAAATTGTGAAATAAAAAGCCAGAAATATAAAGATTGTTCTAATAAAAGGGTAGCAAAAACTAAAAATACTATAAATCACACTTAGGAAACAAATCTTTCTTGGGAATAGCACCAGTTGGGGCTGTAAGAACAACATTCACTCCTGTCTCAAAAGGCTTTATTAGTAAAAAGCAGCAGAGCTAACAGGCAGGACCATTTTTGTGAGGAGGCACATGATTTCAGCTAGAGATGCTACTTGTCTTCACTTGCTGCAGTCAGCATAACAGAATTAAAATAATTAGTTGAGCCACTTGTACATATGGAATGGCCAACTTCCAAAAATTGAGTTTTTAGTTTTTTGTAGAGAATATTCAGATAGCCTATATAAAAATTGCTGTTAGAGAAAGCTTTTGAAATACACGGATAATTAGTTTGTAACTGAAAGTATCATCATGTGCATTTCACAGTGTAACAAACAAGTTTCTTGGGCAGTGAATATATATGTGAATCCTGTAACTTACACCCGAATGTGACAATGACTCCAGAGACAGAAGGGTCGCGGCATAAGCTAGCCAATGATTATGCTGACAAAAGTAATGTCAACATGTAATCAGCTTAACCAAAGTCTCAACATCTCACTAATGGAAAGCAAGGTAACACACACCCTTAGTACCTCCAGTTTTATTTCAGTCAGTAGCTTCAACCTCAGGTTTATACAAAGCTTTTCACCAGAGCATCTAAAAATACAGGACTGAGCAGCTGGAAGTCTCTCATCTCCCCACAGACATTCAGGTGGAAATGCAGGAGAGTGAAAATGGTTAAAAGGTGAGCAGAGGGAGAAAAAGGTAGAAAGAGGCCTGAAACCACAACGCAATGAATAAAGCTGAAAGTTAGAAAATGGCAAACAGTGCTCCCCAGCCTTACACGGCTGGTGGGATTCAGATAAAATAAGAAGACCTTTCTAACAAGGGTTAAACATAAAAAGGGTCACCAAGAGTGGCAAAGAATCACCCTTTTTTAGTTTTTTAATAAGAGGTTACTCTCTTTGCTGTGTCAGTAAGAAACAGAACTCATTGCTAGAACAACTATGCAAAGGTGAGTATTAAAAAATTATCACAAAACTTGTCTAACTCCATACACAAAGGTAAACTCGAAATGGATCAAAGACCTGAATGTAAGGCATGAAACTCACAGAAGAAAACTCAGGCAAAAATCTCTTGAATATAAACATGAGCGACTTTTCCTGAACACATTTCCTTGGGCAAGGGAAACAAAATAAAAAATGAATGAACAAGTGGAACTATAGCAAACTAAAAATTTTCTGCACAGCAAAGGACACCATCAGAACAAAAAGGAATCCTATAGTATGGGAGAATATATTCGTAAATGACTTAACCTGATAAGAGCTTAACATCAAAAGAGCTCACATGCCTCAACACCCAAAAGCAACCAGATTTAAAAATGGGTGGAGGATCTGAACAGACACTTCTCCAGAGAAGGCACATATCACTAAATCATTAGGGATATACAAATTAAAACCACAATGAGATATCACCTCACACCACCTAGGATGGCCAACATCCAACAGACAAGAATAACAAATGCTGGTGAGGATGCAGAGAAAGGGGAACCCTCCTCCACTGCTGGTGGGAACGTAAATTGGTGCAACTACCATGGAAAGCAGTATAGAGGTTCCTCAAAAAACAAAAATAGAAATACCATTTGACCCAGTAATTCCACTTCTAGGAATTTATCCGAAGAAAACAAGATCCCTGATTTGAAAAGACATATGCGTCCCTATGTTTATCGCAGCACTATTTACAATAGCCAAGAAATAGAAGCAACCTAAGTGTCCATCAATAGATGAATGGATAAAGAAGAGGTGGTACATATACACAATCGAATATTATTCAGCCATAAAAAGAAAACAAATTTCCCATTTCCAACAACATGGATGGACCTAGGGGGTATTATGCTCAGTGAAATAAGCGAGGTGGAGAAAGACAAGTATCAAATGACTTTCCTCATTTGTGGAGTGTAACAATGAAGCAAAAGTGAAGGAACAAACAGCAGCAGACTCACAGACTCCAGGAAGGGGCTACTGGTTACCAAAGGGAAGGGTTTGGGGAGAGGAGGTGGGGAGGGAGGGAGAAGGGGATTAAGGGGCACTATAATTAGCCATCACAATATAGGTTTGGTCATGGAAAAGGCAGTGCAGTACAGAGAAGACAAGGAATGACTCTATAGCATCTTACTATGCTGACAGACTGTGACTGCAGTGGGGCACTTGAGGGCACAGTCAGGACTTGATGATACGGGTGAATGTTGAAACCACAATGTTGTTCACGTGAAACCTTCATAAGATTGTATATCAATGATACTTTAATAAAAATTATCACAAAATTGTTTTAGTAGTGACAGACAGGAAATGATTTAAATGTCCACCAAAAAAGATTAGCTAAATAATTTAGGTTACCAAAGGAACAGCACGTGACCATTTAAAAATGTATAGCTGTATATTTGACACAGAAAGCTATTCCCAACTTCCTGTTGGGAAAAAACTTTTTTTTCCTAAGTAAAATTATATATTACATAGGCAAACACACATCTGTATAGATAGGCACAGGGAATACCGAGGATACTCACTGAAGTGTTAAATGGTGGTTATCTGTGGAGGAATTTCTTATAATTACTATTCAAAATCCACAAATAACTATCTCTAGGTGAGGATTTATTTCAAAAATATAATTAAACCCATGATATAGATAATATGTGTTGCATTCACTTTTAAATTTTAGGTCTTTAGTTCTGAGTTTTGTTACATAGTAAATACATACACAGTCCATACAAGAACTACAGTTGACCCTTGAACAACACAGGGGTTAGGGGTACCAACACCCCAAAACTTAACTAGTAACAGCCTACTGCTGACTGGAAGCCTTACCCAAAAATAGTCAATTAACATACATTCTGTATGTTCCATGTAGCATATATTGTATTCTTACAATAAAGTAAGCTAAAGAAAAAAAAACATGTTTTTTTCTAATTGTCACAAATTTCAAAAGATTTCTTGAAAAAAGTGCATATAAGTGGACCTGTGCAACTCAAACCTATGTTGTTCAAGGGTCAACTGTACTTAACAACTTTCCTGACATGTATTATTTATAATGAATGATTATATTATCCTTTACATTTAGTTTCTTTGTTTCCAAATGTTTTTCTGATTTCTGAATCTTCTATATCATTTAAAAGTTCATCCTCACCCTCTGGCTCGTCCCACCACGTCCTTCTTTTCAAGCCAGTTCTGGCCTTCTTTGTACAAACCTCTATCATCAACTTCATTATTATCTCCTTTAGTCAGAAATTTGATGTCTCCATTATCTCTGGAAAGCAAAATAACAACCTTTCAAATATTATTTTCAAAACAGCATCATTACAAAACTATCTGCTTATTCAATACTTTACAGTCTGATATGGGCATTTTAAGAAGCAGTCAAAAATAACTTTATCTTTCTTGGTCTAGAATGATCGCACACAGATAACCACTCAACTAAAGCACAAATCTATTGACAATTTTGTAGACTTAAATCCTAAAAAACAAGGCAGAGGGTACAGGTAAGGGGATGATTAGCTTCCTGCAACTGCTTTCATTCTTCCTCAGGCTCAGGGACCAACCTGTCAACCTGAGCTACACTCCCTTCACTCCAGCCATGCACTTGGTTCCCAATTACACAGGTTTCAGCAAAAGGTAATTCAAATGCAAGTGTGTTCTTACCTCTTCTCAAACTTAACTTTTCCTGGCCAAATGTAGGATGTGTTAACGCATTATTTCCTTGGCCACTGAGCAGAGTGGTATAAAATTCAGTTTGCAAAGAAACAGGAATCACACATGGCATAAAATCAGTGTTAAAGAGACATGTGGGATTAATTTTAAACATTCTAAACTGGCGCTTACATAGCCTTGACACTTCAAGCACAATATTATCGCACTACAGAGGCACAGGAAGGGTCTTCTTTCAATAAGACAATGAAAAAATGCACTATTATAATTTGATAAAAATATTAAAAGACTAGAAGATTTGAATCCATGGCAAAAGGAGCAAGCTGACCTGGAGCCATGGTTATAAAGGAAATCAAGATGAGAAAAATCCAAGCAAGCAGCCTCTCACAACCCATGAAAATTACAGAAAATCACTATCACTATTTCCTCAACTTTGAACAACTTCTCATCTTGAGAAATTATTTTTTAAATGAGGTGAGAGTAAGGCCACATTATGATTGGACGTATTTCTTCACCAGTTAGTTAACAAGCAGCCATCAAGTAACAGTGCAGGACCAATGTAGGAACACAAACTGAAACAAAGTCAATCGAACATTTAGAATAAAAGAAGTGAACATTTTTTGGGGATCAACAGAGGTGAGGCTCAGAACCTCACCCCCCCTGCTTTGAGAGAAATCTTCTGCATCCGTGGATGTCTTGCTGCCCTCAGCACTATTTACAATAGCCAAGAAATAGAAGCAACCTAAGTGTCCATCAATAGATGAATGGATAAAGAAGAGGTGGTACATATACACAATCGAATATTATTCAGCCATAAAAAGAAAACAAATTTCCCATTTCCAACAACATGGATGGACCTAGGGGGTATTATGCTCAGTGAAATAAGCGAGGTGGAGAAAGACAAGTATCAAATGACTTTCCTCATTTGTGGAGTGTAACAATGAAGCAAAAGTGAAGGAACAAACAGCAGCAGACTCACAGACTCCAGGAAGGGGCTACTGGTTACCAAAGGGAAGGGTTTGGGGAGAGGAGGTGGGGAGGGAGGGAGAAGGGGATTAAGGGGCACTATAATTAGCCATCACAATATAGGTTTGGTCATGGAAAAGGCAGTGCAGTACAGAGAAGACAAGGAATGACTCTATAGCATCTTACTATGCTGACAGACTGTGACTGCAGTGGGGCACTTGAGGGCACAGTCAGGACTTGATGATACGGGTGAATGTTGAAACCACAATGTTGTTCACGTGAAACCTTCATAAGATTGTATATCAATGATACTTTAATAAAAATTATCACAAAATTGTTTTAGTAGTGACAGACAGGAAATGATTTAAATGTCCACCAAAAAAGATTAGCTAAATAATTTAGGTTACCAAAGGAACAGCACGTTACCATTTAAAAATGTATAGCTGTATATTTGACACAGAAAGCTATTCCCAACTTCCTGTTGGGAAAAAACTTTTTTTTCCTAAGTAAAATTATATATTACATAGGCAAACACACATCTGTATAGATAGGCACAGGGAATACCGAGGATACTCACTGAAGTGTTAAATGGTGGTTATCTGTGGAGGAATTTCTTATAATTACTATTCAAAATCCACAAATAACTATCTCTAGGTGAGGATTTATTTCAAAAATATAATTAAACCCATGATATAGATAATATGTGTTGCATTCACTTTTAAATTTTAGGTCTTTAGTTCTGAGTTTTGTTACATAGTAAATACATACACAGTCCATACAAGAACTACAGTTGACCCTTGAACAACACAGGGGTTAGGGGTACCAACACCCCAAAACTTAACTAGTAACAGCCTACTGCTGACTGGAAGCCTTACCCAAAAATAGTCAATTAACATACATTCTGTATGTTCCATGTAGCATATATTGTATTCTTACAATAAAGTAAGCTAAAGAAAAAAAAACATGTTTTTTTCTAATTGTCACAAATTTCAAAAGATTTCTTGAAAAAAGTGCATATAAGTGGACCTGTGCAACTCAAACCTATGTTGTTCAAGGGTCAACTGTACTTAACAACTTTCCTGACATGTATTATTTATAATGAATGATTATATTATCCTTTACATTTAGTTTCTTTGTTTCCAAATGTTTTTCTGATTTCTGAATCTTCTATATCATTTAAAAGTTCATCCTCACCCTCTGGCTCGTCCCACCACGTCCTTCTTTTCAAGCCAGTTCTGGCCTTCTTTGTACAAACCTCTATCATCAACTTCATTATTATCTCCTTTAGTCAGAAATTTGATGTCTCCATTATCTCTGGAAAGCAAAATAACGACCTTTCAAATATTATTTTCAAAACAGCATCATTACAAAACTATCTGCTTATTCAATACTTTACAGTCTGATATGGGCATTTTAAGAAGCAGTCAAAAATAACTTTATCTTTCTTGGTCTAGAATGATCGCACACAGATAACCACTCAACTAAAGCACAAATCTATTGACAATTTTGTAGACTTAAATCCTAAAAAACAAGGCAGAGGGTACAGGTAAGGGGATGATTAGCTTCCTGCAACTGCTTTCATTCTTCCTCAGGCTCAGGGACCAACCTGTCAACCTGAGCTACACTCCCTTCACTCCAGCCATGCACTTGGTTCCCAATTACACAGGTTTCAGCAAAAGGTAATTCAAATGCAAGTGTGTTCTTACCTCTTCTCAAACTTAACTTTTCCTGGCCAAATGTAGGATGTGTTAACGCATTATTTCCTTGGCCACTGAGCAGAGTGGTATAAAATTCAGTTTGCAAAGAAACAGGAATCACACATGGCATAAAATCAGTGT